GGTCTACCTGGGTTACATGTACTAGTATACCCGGGTAGACCATACCCCGGGTAGACCAGTACGTGCTACCGGGTAGACCAGTTGGTTTTGCAGCAGCAGCAGCTGTTCCACCCAATTTTTGTGTAGTTTTTTGACTGATTTCGAAGGACAACATATAATATGACTTGGGGGTGGATTCAGTTCGTAAATATGGGATGCTGGAGGCACGATGTGTGCTAAACTTATTCCAATTTTGAGAAATATCAAAATGAACATTTAAGGCATTTCAAAGACACAATTGAACATTCAAACGTTTTGAAAGACACAATTTGCATAAATAGACAAAATGGGATTCATTCAAACCATTGAACATCGAAGTACAAGTACATCCATCAAAATGTAGGTAAGTAACCTAATTATACCAAAATAAGTCATGAAATACATCCAAAATGGGACCCGTAAACCCAATACACCCTGCTAGTTTACCAAAATACTATGAAACCTTATCTACTGGCTAATCCGATTGCGTGTCCTCCTCATTCTCATCATCCTCCTCCACATCATCATCGTCTTCAGCATCAGCCTCCTCATCACCCTTCCTGTAGCCAGCCTCCAAGCGTGTAACCCTTATGTCCAAGCTCTCAACCTTAGTGTCAATCTGGTTCCGCCACTTGCTTGTGCTCTGTCTATATCCTCTAAAATCAGTAGACAATGAGTCAAGGCCTACTGTCAGGCTATACATGGATGCCATGACATGATCAAGTGTCCATCCACCCTCAAGAGCTGTGCATCCACCTTCAAGGGATGGAGGGGCTGGTGGTCGCCGACTGCGGGTGGGACGTGTCCGTCCGTCATCAACGGGAGCAACGCCATCATCATCGTCATCATAATCGTCATCAAGGCCTGCGTCATAAGTCATGAAAATGCACATATTATAATTAAGAATCAAAAAAACAAACCAACAATAATGCATAAACCCTAAACGCAAAATACATCACCTGCAGATGCATCCTCCATATCAGCATCGTGGTGGACTGGGATCTCAGGTGGTTCTGGTGCCTTCTTCCAGTACCAGGAACCCGCTCTGCTCCGCTGAATCCCACATTGCTTCAGGAGCCTTTCACCAAATATAGCATTCCACCCAGAGGCGGTCTTCAAGGTCTCTGATGCCATAGGCACACCAAATCTCACCATAATCTTCTGCACCAGGAATGCACAAGGCAATTCAGCCTTCTTTGACTTGGCAGCCTTCCACATCAGTATGCATATATAATGCCTCCAGTTCACCTGCTGACGGTGAAGGAGGGCCCACAAGATGACAAAGTCTCATTCCAGCACCTTCGAATGATTATACGGGCGCTGGAAAATAATATGTGTCACCACATAATGGAGAATGCGAGCAGACACCGACAAGTTGCTCACAGGATGATGAGAAAAATGTTCGGCCTCAGCGTCTGCCCTCCTAGTCTCTGTAACAGTGGCCTCTCTGTCATAATCACCAAAGATATGATGGTTGTATCCATCATATATGGCTGCTCCTGTGACACTATCAAAATCAAACCCCAGTAGCTCTGTCCATATAGGAGCAGTCATGACGATATCAATCCCGCAGACACGGGAAGTCAGCTCTCCATGCGCATAGCCAAGGTTCTGGTAGAAGGCTCTCATCATCACCTCCGAGTATGGGCACCGCATCTCCTCAAGCACAATTAAATGTGTCTCCTCAAGTAGCAGCACAATGTCAAAACGCTCCATGTTGAAGAATGCCGAGTCCAGTGATTTCGGCTCGCAAATCTTTCGGGTCATGAAAAACTTGACAAACCTCTCGTGTGCAAGTATGTCATCCTCAAACAAATATCTGAACATCAAGTTCGGAGCCTGACTAACAGAAGCCTGGGGCTGAGAGGACGACAACCCATCGTGACGACTCTTGCTTCTTCTCTCGGTACCCGTCACTGGCAGCTTTGAAACGCGTTTAGAAGTCATTGCGTCACACTATTAAACTGAAAAAAAAGCCAAAATAATAAATTAGAAACATACAGATTAGGGTTAGGGTAGCAGTTAGTAATTTCATAAATTGATCGAAAAAAATCAAATCACATAACCATCTAAACTACAAAAACACAATAATTTCGATTTACCCTAAACCCAAACATATTAAAATCAGAACAAGAAACATCCAGAAAGAAAAAAAAATTAACCTTGGATGGATTTCAATCGATAGAAGGCAGAGATTCACACGTGCACGATCTGCAGATCAAAACCACGAAGAATTTGAGCAAGTATTCGTCCTCAATCGCGCAATGAGAGTGACCTCCAGCAGCTCTACCAGGGTACCTCTTTGTCGGTTTTCCAAATGGGGGCTGCTGGGGTATTTAAAAACCCTACCGTCGAACTTTACCCGGGTACACCCCTCCCTACCCGGGTAAATAATTCAAACATTTTCCCAGATTGAAGAACTCTACCTGGGTACACCCCTCCCTACTCAGGTAGGCAAAAAATTTCAAAAAATACCCGGGTAGGGAGGGGTGTACCCGGGTAAGCTTGGTGGTCGACGGTCAAATAGGGGTAGGTTGATGTTATGTTTTCTGGGGAGGTTAAATTTTCGAATTAATTTGAAATGAAGGTCAAATTAGTAATTAATTATTAATTAAGGATCATAAAGGTCAAAAAGTCCCTGCTTGACTTGTTTAGTAAGTTGTTGAAAAAGAAAGAGCAAGACTAATCTTTTTCTGCTTATGTATTCTATCGAGCGTTAATGTAAATCTTTTTACATGATCACTTAAGGATGTATTAATATGTCATTAAAATATTTAACTTGTTAGATAAAAGTTGTTATAGTTAAACTTATTTAATTTGATAATATAAATTTAAATAGCAATATGATTTTTTATGACGACAGATCATTTAGATTAAAATTATTAACTAATTGAAAATAATAGATTCTATAATACTGATTGTTTCTCCCGAATTCAGAATGAAATTACTTTCCTCATGAAATATCTTATTACATTAGTGAAAAGGAAATTAAATATAAAAAAGGCAGATATTTCTTCCTGCCCAGAATGTAATAATTTTTCATAATAGGTTTAGCGTGTGTCATTCAAAAGGATACAAGTTATGTTTTTTTAGTGACTTACCCATTGTATGACCGGTCATACTCTGTGTAATTCTAAAAAGTTACTTTTTTTTTTCACTTTACATGTCAACGATGTGACTGTAGAGAGAGAAAAAAAAGTTACTTTTCAGATTTAGACAAAATATGATCAGTTATACTTTGTGTAAATCATCTAAAAGAACACAACTTGTATCTTTTTAAACGATAGTCTTTTTTCCCTTTCATAATTAACTGAATATTAACATAAAAGAAAAAAACAGGTGTTCAGTCAATTGTGTATAGGCAAATTAACTGTGATTTTTTTTTATCTTAATGTTTATTTTTTACTCTAATATCTCACTGTTGTTTGTTTATATACAATTAAGTTGTCACATATCATCAAATGATTTATTTCTTTCGATATATAATAGGATTTAATATTTTTCCGATCACTAATTACTTGAGATAAAGTTATTTCATGTTATTTCAAAATAACATTATTTTAGAGTTTAAAAACAAAAATTATAATAATAAAAGTTAATAGAATCCCAAAATGAATTAAAATTAATTTTTTTTAACTCAAAACGATGTAATTTTGAGTTATAATAAAATATGTATAAAGAAACATTAAACCCCATATAATATATTATATAGGAATAGATCCTCTCATGTCTATATTACCATATTATGTATTAAATCTCAACTATTCATTAATAAATAAATGATTATAATTTTAATGACAAAATTAGAAAAAAAAATGAAAATAATTATTTTAATTATTGGTTGTTATTTTCATCAATTAATGGCTAAAATTTAACAAATTATACGATAATATTAAAAAGAGACATGAATTACTCAATCTTTAATTTATTATACCCTGAATTACATACTAAAGTTAAAACAAAAAACTATTTAATTTTATTTATTTACTCAGTCTTTTATAATTAATGCTACATCTATTTTTATAGAAAGAGTTTAACACCAGATTAAAGAAGACTCACTACTATTAATATAAGAGTTCATTTTTTCTTCAAATGTCGTTCTTGCCAAGGCTGTATGTCTTTTTTTAGTCTACTCAAGTTCAAACCATTCAGACCCGTTAAAGCCCGCGCAGCTGCGGCAAGATTTGAAAAAGGAATTGATCGAGATTTTGAACTCGTTCTTTCCATGACACCTCTTAATTGAAACATGAAATCTAGTGTTGGAACTAGGAATTTTTTGAATTTCACCATACGCATTGGAGTGAAATAGCCCCAAATTATAAAGAATTGGCCCAATTAAGTATTTGCAATTTTGTGAATATTACTAATGTTCTGAGTTAATACATATAAGTTATCTACATTGAGCCTAAAAAGATCTCATTTTATTTACAAAAAAAAAAAAAGATCTCATTTTGAGGCGAAAATCAAGGTGTTTTTGTAATTTTAATTTATGTTAGGGCTATAATAGTATTTATAATTATAATTTTTTAATATTTCAATACCAAAATGATGTCATTTTGAAAATAAATGCAGATAATTTATCTGCAGTAACTGCAGAAACATTTTTCTGATAATATAATTATTTCAAGAGAGAAACTATTCTCACGTTACATGAGATAAATTTTTTCTCCTACATATTCTTCGATAATTGTGTCATTTTTTTCTTTGCTTTTAATTTTTTTAGGCAGTAAAGTCCATAAATTTGTCTCTATGACATAGACAACTTATTTCTTTTAAGATAAGATTAATAAAATCCTTATTTCAATGCATTTTTAATGTTTTATTACAAGATGAAATCATATACTGATATTTATTAATTATTCTCCACAAATACATAGAGCATAAAATTAATTTAATAATGAAAAGTAAGAATAGAATATTAGGAATATGTCTCGAAAACCAAATATACATAATGAATGGAAGCGAGGCTTAAAAAGTGTTCGAAACTCCGAAGGAAGCAGAAGAAGAAGAAGGAGAAGGAAGAGAGTGAAGCAGAGAAGAGAAGCATAAAATAAAGATGAACGAAGATGGTGTAACCTCTGAGAACCCTAATCCCTCTCTTCCCAAACCACCTTCTTCTCCTCCAACACCTGCTGCTAGGTCTCTCTCTCTCTCTCTCTCTAGGGTTTCTTACTCAAACCTCCAATTTTATTTAATTTGTTTATAATTATTCTCAACCGCAATTCAATTTCAAACTCTACATTTATCCTAGGGTTTCTCAATTTTCTTTTGTTAATTTTTCATTGTGTTAATTTTTTCTCTCAGCTCTGCTGGGGCGTCGTCGCCGGCTGTTCCGGCGAACGCCGGCAACGGAGAGGGTCGCCTTCGCCGGCGTGATAAATCGAGCGCGGATTCGCATATGGTTGTTGGTTCAGTGCTGCACGGGGCTTCAAATCCTTCCTGCAGGCCATGGGAAAGGGGCGATTTGCTTCGCCGCCTTTCCACCTTCAAGCTCGCCGGAAAAATGCCTAAGGTTCGTGGTGTCGTTTCATTCGTTGTTTCCGCGTACTTTTTTAATGCAATGATCAAATGATATACCGGTTTTTTTGGAACTGAAAATTATGGTGGAAGCAATTAGGTTAGGTTTAGAGAATTATAGTAGCATGGGGGGAAAATTCTACTAAGGTTTAGTCGTTTTGCAGGTTGCTGGCTCATTAGCTTGTGCCAAGAGAGGTTGGGTGAATGTTGATGTTGCTAAGATTGAGTGTGATTTATGTGGTGCTCAGTTAGATTTTGCTCTGCCCTCGGCTTCCTCTTTTGAAGGTGAGGCTATTGTTGTTATGGTTATGGCTTAATTTCGTTGCTTTCTATGTTGGTGGAATGCTGGTTCTGGTAGATTGCTATCCATATAGATTGGTATATGTTTTCTTCAAGAAAATTGGTTTTGCTAGCATTGGTGAAGTGTTTGTGTAACGTATATCTGAGAGGTGATATAGTTTTGGTATGCTTGTTGTGTGTCTGGGTTGGTGTGCTTTCTATAACTAGTTGCTCTGCATTATTTTCTAGTGTGAGTTATTTTTGGTCTTCCCTTTCCTGAAACTTATTTCTTCTGGTGGATCAAATTTGACATCATGGCTGATAATCTAGAAAGCACAAATATGGCATGAGACATGGATGCAACACAGACTTGGGGATACGGAAAATTTTAGAAATTATAAGGCACGACACGGATAAAGGTACAATTAAAACTAGCATAAAAACAGAAATATTTAATTAAAATATAGAATTAATGTTGTGCAATTTAACATTAGTTAATAAAATACTATCATTTATCTAATTGTCATAGTATTTCCATTTGCATTTGTATAAAAATTCAAAAAAAAGAAAAATTAAAAAATCAAAAAAATTGCAAAGTGTAACTAGGAGTATCCAAAGTTCCCATGAAGTTTTTGATACAGGTATGTGTTTGACATGGATATGTCAACTGTTTTGAAGTATCCATGCTTCCTAGCTGAAAATGCTTAATTTACATAGCCACATGGATAAGCTCACACTAACTTGTCTATTTGGGATTTCCTTGGGAGGTATCGGGAAGGAATTTGAATGGAATAATATCCATTTGTAGATACAGAAGAAAGGGTTCTCTACAAAGTTATCAAATGCGGATTGCGGTATGTTGCGGCCAACCACGAAAAATGCTATAGCGCTATAGCGAGTTGCGGTTGCGGAAATAGCGGAATAGATATATGACATAAATAATGACAAAAAGAAACATTTTTTAAAGGCAGATATAGCAGAAGTGACAAAGAGAGATGCAGATAGACTAAAAAACCCTTAAAAATTTTCTGTTACACATTTAAATTTGGGACAAAATTGACATTTTGCCTTATGACAACAATATGGCAACGATTTGGCCGTAAATGTGACCGCGATAGCCGCTATTGCGTTCCGGTGCGACGCGGCGCGGTTTCTTGTGGCAAGGCACCGCAACACCCATACGGCACGGCTCGCAGCGCTATTGCTGCGCAATTAACTACTATGGTTCTCTATTGTTTCAAACTCTATGCCGACGAGATAAAGATCCATTGTAATCTATGATTAAAATTGCGCCGCTTTAGCGCGGTATCAGGCATTAGTTGCGTGTTGCGGCACCCAGTCTCTACGTCCGCACCGCAATGCGACGGTTTCCGGTTGCGGCGGTGGCGGACGACAGCTCTTAAGGCGCGCTATCGCGCTGCTACAGGGAAAGGAAGAGGAGTTACAGACATTTTGGTGACTGGAGCTGTACCCATTCGAAGGTACAAGCTTTCTCTTACGTATTTTAGCCTTTCTCTGCAACTGCAAGGCACTTGCTTCTTTGTTTAACGTGTATGACGGCTGTAGCTTTTGGAAATGTAGGGTTTTCATCTACTTTAGGTAAACTTTGGGAGAAGAATGGGCCTGGACCAATTTTGGGCTGAACATAGATGGACATAATAAACATTTTGCAATTATTCTCTTGATGCCCCATTTTTCTATAATAAACATTCAACCCAATTTTGGGCCTGGACCAAGGGTGCTATGTTAAAAAAAATTTAGTACATAATAAACATAAACAATTATGTTATTATTCTCTTGACATAACTTTTATCTATTTTTAAATAAGTAAAATAAAAACAATTTAGATTTTTAAGTGATAATATATGTAACTTATGTTTTTTTTCTTAAATATTAAATGATAATTATGTTGTTTCTTTTTTTTAATGGTTAAATGTTTGAAATTTAAAAACTTAATATAGTATTTTTTATAATTAAATTAGAAATTTAAATACTTAATATATTATTTTTATAATTAAAATAAAAAATGTAGGATCTTACGATGCATGCCGATTTAACGATTTATGATTTTCTTAACCCTTTCTGATCTTTGGTAAGACTCACTTCATCACAATTATATTAATATATTAATATTAATATTAATATTAATATTTTAATTTTATTAATGTATTAATATTATAAATGATCAGACCATTCCATTTTATTTATGTGTAGTATAATATAAGTATACCATTTATGTGGACTACACCGTAGCGGTTATACCGCTACCCGCTATATCGTTTTTAAGGTTGGCCGCTATCCGCTGTTAATAACTATGATTGTAATTGTGATCGAAAAAACAATCTGATTCATTTTGTACCTTTTACTTAATGAGTAAATGTCTCAGATTCTACATTTCCAGTTGATTTTGTTGCACTGCTTTTCTACAAGGGTTGCAGGTAAGTCTGTTTGACATTAGAATGCCAACTAGATTGAATTTATTAGAGGTTTTTATTTATCAGTTTTGTGTTAGATTATGTTGTCCATAATCTGTATTTTTAACCTATTTTAGTATCAATTCTAGTTAATATTAAAAAAGTAGTTATCTTTCTTGTTTCTTTTTTGTAAACTATCTATCTTTTTATGTTCTTGTCCTTCATCATAATCCCTCTTATCTTGACTTTTATACCACTTCATTTCATTGTTGCTGTCTGATCCTTGATTGTTGTTTCTCATGTATTTGGTGAAGCTGATGCTTCCAGTGAAGAACTTTCTAAACAGCTTGATAGAGGACACAAAGTCACCTGTCCTTGGAGAGGTAATAGCTGTCCAGAAAGCTTGGTGCAGTTCCCTCCTACTTCACCTTCAGCTCTAATTGGAGGCTTTAAGGATCGGTGCGATGGACTCCTGCAGTTTTACTCCCTCCCCATTGTATCTTCATCTGCAGTTGAGCAGATGCGGGTTACACATAGCCCTCAAATTGATCGCTTTCTTGCTCAATTGCAAATTCAGATGGCTGGAGAATTGGGCTACAGAGGAGAAAGTGTGTGTGGAATGGGCTTTACTGGAGAACAGCTTCCTCATTCATATTCTTATGTAAGATTTCTCAGATATGCTGTTTTATCTTAATTATTTGTGTAAGTGTATTCTATTCCAATTTGGCTTTTGGTTTTATTATCTCCATACTTACATTAATGTACCACTTCAATAGGCTAAAAAACTCATAAGTCTTTGTGGATGGGAGCCACGGTGGCTTCCTAATGTGCTTGATTGTGAAGAACAGTCAGCAGAATCTGCTAAAAATGGTTACAGCTCTGATCCGGCCAAAGGCTCTGCACCAGATCCTGCTCCAAGCAGGAAGGAGTTTTCAACTTCATCCAGGAAAGATACTGGGGATAATGATGTACTGGGTTCAGAATTTAATTGTGAATCTAGGTCACCTTTGTTAGATTGTAGCTTATGTGGGGCCACAGTTAGAGTATGGGATTTCTTGACTGTCCCCCGTCCAGTTCATTTGACTCCCTGTGGGATTGATACCCCTCAAACGAGCAAGAAAATAGCATCAACACGAGGAATAAGTGCAGCCAGTGGTATCAATGAATGGGCTGCTGCTGATGGTGTTGAGAAAGAGAGGACTGGAGACCATGATGATGCTACAACATCTGATAAAAGGCAACTTGTATCCAATAAAAATTTAGATTTAAATCTTAAATTGGCAAGTGGGCCATCCCGTTCACCAGTAAATTTGGCTTCAACCTTAGATCATGTGCAAGATGCTGGTGAAGGAAGAGATTTAATGACTGGGAGGCCTTCTGGAAGTGAGGTTGGTGATCAGGCAGCTTCTTATGAATTGCAAGGCCCCAAATCGCACAAGCGCAGGTTGGATGACGGTGCAACCATAGCTGACAGACAACATCTAAGCATGCAACAGGGAGACAGTGCAGAAAGAACTACAATCGACCGTGATAACAATGATGTCAATGGAAGTCAACAGTATTCAGCTGGCCCTTCCAAGCGTCCCCGCGATGCTAATCTTTTGGAAGCATTCCAATTCCCAGTAAGAAATCCATCTGGTGCTGTACCTAGCCATTCATTGGATATTCAAATAGAATCCGATGGAAACATAGGAAACCAGTTGAACCCAGAAAGGGATCATGGTATCGGCATCCCGTCTACCAGAGATTCCACCCGTGCATCTTCTGTTATTGCAATGAATACGGTTTATCACGGTTCAGATGATGAATCAATGGAAAGTGTTGACAATTTTCCTATAGGTGTTAATGATGCCAGTTTCCCTTCTGTTGATTTGAATGAAACATCAGAGTTAAATAACAGCTATCAAGCGCAGCAGAGTGCTTGTTTCCAACCACTTTTAGAGAGAGCAGGAGGGGAGACAGGTGTTAGCAGTTCAAATGCTTGTGGGGAAGTTTTGAACACAGAGATATTGACTGTACATGCTAGAGATGGGCCTAGTTTTGGTATTAGTGGGGGAAGTGTTGGCATGGGTGCTAGTCATGAGGCTGAAATACATGGGGCTGATGTCTCAGTTCATAGAGGTGATAGTTTAGGTGATGTTGAACCAATTGCTGAAGTGATTGAAAATCAGGGCCAAGCTGGTGAGTCTGTACCCTATAATGGACTTATTGACGATTTTGTGCCTGAGGAAATGAGTCGTGATGATCTTCAAGGGGATAGTCAAGCTGTGGTGTTTCAATCTACACCAAGGACTGATAGCGGCTCAAAAATTATAGCTTCAACCAAGGTTGAATCTGTTGAAAGTGGTGAGAAGACCAGTAGTAGCATGCAGATGCTAGGCCATGAAAATGGTGCCCGTCCTTCTCTTTCTTGCAATGCTGTTGTCTGTTCTGGCTATGAAGTGTCCAAGGAAGAAGTTACTCAAACTGGGAAGGCTGATGATGGTGCATGTCATGAATCAGGCTATATAGTTCCGGATGTTGTGGGTATGTCTGAATATTTTTTATATACACACACACACATATCTATACGTACATTCATATATATATATATATATATATATGAATGTGTTGATTTTGTTTAGTTTTTTCCTTTTTGTTTAACCTTGTTCTGCTCTCATTTACCCGTTTACTCTTATGCTCAATGTGATTGGTATTAGCTGTTTATTCTTTTGCGTTTTGAATAATTTCATTGTAATATGATTGCCAATTTCTCTTCTAATGATATAATTATGTGATGTCAATTATACAAAGTTATTTGGCTATTGAAAATTTGAAATATGCTAAGGTCAATTACAAAATACAAACTTGATGAATAATATCTGAATGCCTTATCTAAAATGGTCTGATTATTGGATGGAAGGGATAGCTCATATAGCCAGAGGCAAGGGACAACAAACAAAGGGAGGGGAGCACAACTTATTGTTATTCCCCCCATTTCCTGTCCCTTTCTATATAGTGGAAATGGAATATCATAAAGCATGGAAAACAATATTGGTAATATTGTGCATTGTAATCCCAATATAGTATTTAAATTTTATGAATTCGATCTCCTCCTTTTCCTGCCCTTGCTTTGGATGGTGGTAATCTCTCTCTCTCTTCCGCGTGCATGTTAAGCATACCTCCTTTACCTTTCTTTCTTCCTTCCCCTCCATCCCATTCATCCAAATACACCCATGTGATCACACGTACAGTGTCTACTGAACTGTTATAAGTGAGTGTAGTATACATGCAGTCATTGATTAGTTAATATATTCATAATCATAGTTACATCTATTATTTGTGATGCTCTTACATTATGATATATGAAACTCGTATACAGATAATATTTTCAACTTTATTATGATTTAAACATGTTTCATGGTGGTTGCATCAATCAGTAATGAGTCTTGTGGATTAATTTTTAAACAGTTTAACCTGATTTATACAAACACATTTTGAGACACAATCTTTATCTAATGTTGTGCTGAATTCAAGTCTGCTGATGAATTGTACCCAAACATTGTGCCCCTTTCAAATAATTTTTCTTTCATAAGAAATGTTTCATATTAGTATTGTGGAGGAAAACTATTAGCATTGTGGAGGGAGGGGTAGACCCATTATTTATTTCCTATATTCCAGATGGCCCTTTTTAGTATTTTTCCGATGTCATTTATTTATTTATTTCTTCCCTCTTATTTTTCTTTTTCCTCAGTCTTTTCTTGCTCCCAGACTCCATTTAATTTGGGATAAAGGTGATGTTGAAGAAATGTTTCATATTATGCTGATTAATTTATCTAAGACAACTTGTGCACATTGTCTTCCACCCTATTCTGACAGCTATTTGTTGTGCATTAACTATTGCACTTGGTTGTAATGTTCAGGGACTCCTTACAGAGACAACAGTAATGGAGGTGTTGAATTTGATCCAATCAAACTACATAATGACTACTGTCCTTGGGTGAACGGGGATGTTGCTGCTGCTGGTTGCGGTAGTCCTTGCTCCAGTTCTGGTGTGGGTACTATAGCTCATTGTGGCTGGCAGCTGACATTGGATGCCCTAGATTCTTTCCAGTCACTTGGACATCTTCCCGTGCAAACACTGGAATCTGAATCGGCAGCATCCATGTGCAAGGTTTGTTCTGGTTGTCTTAGTGTAGTATTATCCATGATTAGAAGGAGAACACTTTGCTTAGATGTTGATATTTTGATGAACATTTCTGGTTTCAAATACTATGCTCTCGGGGGATGATTAAAAATAGCTATTCAAGATATAGATTTTATTCCATTCAAGGTGGGAAAATTTAGCCAGTCACAGACAAAAGGTGTATGGAACAACAGAACATTTAAACAAGGATGCAAAACTTAGAAAATATAGTTATCGATTTTTTTGACGTGTTTGATCATACTATTCTTATATTATCATAAAGTCCGAATCAATTTTGTAAACTTGCAGTATAAGTGAACCCAATGTTAGCCACAGTAGCCAAAATGAGTATGAGACAAAAAAATAAAATAAAATCAAAGTGAATAGGTGAAAGATATTAAGCTAGAACTTTTTTTTAAAAAAATCTAACAAATGTCATGACTAAGATATACATACATCCAAAAGCTAGTACTCCACACTGAAATGTAAATTGAGTTTTATAGATGTGAGAAGCTGTATTCTTTACTTCTCAGTTAGTCTATCCTTTGATGAGTTATGAACCTCCTTTATGAAATCTAGAATTTTGAGAACTCGTATGAAGTAGAGCTGAGCAAATATTTGGCCTAAATTGGGAATAACCCTATTCAAGGTCTCCATAAGCATGTTTTGATGTGGCATGTTCTAATTTCTTACCAACTCTGTAAAATGTCATATGTACCAGGTGGTGCCACCTTTGAGAATGCTTAAATGGATATAATTATTTATGTATATTATTTAATTATTATTTATGTAGCGGGACCTCTTGGTTTTTTTATTGAGACATGAGATTGCAGTTTCTTCTGTTATCTTTATTTGATTTTCATCGGACTTTATTTTCAAAAAATCACCGTAATATGATGCAAAAAGGTTTGCAATTAAATGCTGCAACTTATTTGATTAAGGTGTTCTGTATTAGTTTGGTTCACCGTAATATGATGCACATTATTATTTTTAAAATGATGCAACTTGCAAAAAAGTTTCATTTTCAGTTTAAACACTAAGCAGCTCACTGTAAAATGACATATTCAGGTGGTGTCACATTTGAGAGCTTATACAAATTTATTTAGTTGTTAAATGGGAACTTGGGGTTTTTTATTTATTACATATGGTTGTGGCATCTTCTGATATCTAGAATGAGCTCCTAATTTCATCATGAAGAAAACCATTGTGAATTTGTGATATTGTAATAAGGCTTGCAATTTAATTGTGCAGCATATGAGATTATATTGCTATTGCATGTGGAAGATTCTTGCTGCTTGACATGTATGTTTCTTACAGGGGGACCGGTTCACTTCCAGCCAGAAACTGTTAGCACGCAACTCCTATGTAAGAAGCCGTGGAAGAAACTGAGACCTTCAGGAAGTTACAGGTTTCAGTTGAGCTGTTTCTCCGAGAATGACTATTTTTCCTATATCCTAATTCAGGTTGTGCTTTTAATTGGATGTCTGTCCAATCTTGTTCTTTTCTAAAGTCAGTTTTGGTGCTATAATATTTTCCGTTATTCTATTGGATTTTGGATTGGTATTCATTAATTTAATAAAAGTATCATTTCATCAAAAGCTTTGTTGAGCAGTAGCAATTGGATGATAGAGAATTTATTGCAACTTCCAATATAGTCTTTATATCACATCTTGTCCCAAATGGCTTATGGGACATTGTGTTTTATTTTGGAGCATGATACCTTTCACCCTATGTAGCAGAAATCTTCAACTGATATTTCTTCATGCCATTATTATGCGATTTATGATTAATTTTTTTCAGCTAACATGGTTTAAATTCATCTTGATGATAGCTAATCCCTTCTTTTCCTTTCCTTCTCGTTTTTTATTATCTTTGAAATATTTGTGCAGCAGCAAAGAGTTCATTTTACGCTACAAGACAAATTAAATATCTAAATAACTAGAGAGATTTCCATGGCTAAAAAAAAGGGTTGATTCTAATAAAGTCGAATATTCATTTTTATCCTTAACTTCTTGATTGCTTTCTATTAAATTCTATGTTATGCGGAAAAAGCTTAATTTTTCGGGCAAATTATATAAAACCACCATGTACTTTGATGCTTTTTCAAAAGACCACCTTCTTGTTATCAAAAAAAAAGAAAAAAGACCACCTTCTACTTTCAATTGGAACAATTAACCTCCTTGTACTATTATATTTCAACAATTAAACATATTTAATAATTTTCAGACAAAAATACTTACTCCCAACCCACCACCACTGTATATATGGAGTATACTTTTTTTTTTGTATACGGAGTATATTAGCAATAAGGAAAATGGAAAATTCACTTGTCCGTCATGATCGACACCATTGATCCAGAGTCAGTATTCCGGCCAGTTCCTGGAGTTCTCTGCACAGAGGTTTCAGTGCATAATTCCCAGAATACGCTCTTTTAACGACCAATGTATAAATGTTGTCGCATTATACTTTATAATTGTTTGAATATTTATATACTGTATATTGGTCATGATTTCTTATACGTAAAATGTAAATACAAATGGGATGCGGGGGGACTCTATTTTAATTGTGTGCAAAACGGATGCTGTAACCAAAGAATTTTACTTCAGGAGAGATAGTGGACCACAAGGGGCCTTGGAACGTCTATACAGGGCATAAGATCATGCTTGCATAGCTGCATGCGATTGTTTATTTTATTTTTATTTTTTTTATCGCTGTGTAGTCTATTTTTAAATAGAATATGTTTGGTAAAATATATTAATTCTGAGAAGAGAACGTATATGTAATGTAACCTCGTACAATATAGAAATTATGACAGGGGAAACAAGTTTAATGGACGCTCGGCTCAAATTTAAGCGTGAAAAATTGGATTGAATCTAAAATTTATTGTTGACGGACGAGTTTAAACCTTTGTGCAGAGAACTCCAGGAACTGGCCGGAATACTGTCTCTGGGTCAATGGTATAAATCGGTTATTCTTGATGGACCAGTGGATTCTCCATTTTTCTTATTGCAAGTATATTCTATATATACAGGTTTTTGACCATTGTAGCCTTTATTGAATAATTAATTATCAAATTGACATTGATTATAAACTATTTCAAAAATTTAACCTTGCTTAAGAATATAACATCAATCTGCCCATGTTTGACCGTTGACCATCAAGTCTACCCCGGTATATTTTGAAAATTTTATCCTACCCGAATAGTCAAGGGGATACCCGAGTATATTTCAAAAATCTGAAAAAAATGGTTGAATTATTTACCCGGGTAGGGAGGGGGCTACCCGGGTAAATGTTGCATATTTTGTCAATATATGATCGTAATTACCGGATCAGAATTTTCATAGTTATTTCACTTTCACTCTTGCTTTTACAAAAATTAAAAGAAAAGGAAAAACAATCACCAGAGAAAGAATTGCTTGTAACAATAACAGGGATCATCAAGAAAGTTGATGACTGAAGCTAGAAGAAATAATACAATAATATCCAAAACAAAGGATATGACTCAAAAACCCTCCTGGAACGAGCCTTTCACTTCTTCAGGTGTGTGTTATTCGATTCTCCAGATGTTTGTTCCCTTTGTTTCCCAGATCTGGTCCAATTTCTCTCTGTTTTCTTTATCTTTTACTTTAAACATGGTGAAAAAAAGAAAAAAAAAAAAAACAAGCGCACCTCGGGAATAATTTCAACCTTTTCTCTTTCGGTTCCTCCTTTGAATTCTTGATATCCTTTTACAATTTAACAATCATTTTCACTGCCCTTTTTATTTATGCTCATTCAAAGAAAGTTTCCTAAAATCTCCCTCTTTCACTCCTTATTTTAATATTAAAACGTGTTGGTTCTATCACATTTTTTTTTTTTTGGTTTTCTTTATTGAAATAATAAAAATTAATGACTAGATTAATTTTTATACTAAATGCTGTTTTGATTACATGCATGCAGATAGAGATTCAGAAACATGCAGAGGCGAAGGTCGATCTTTCCTGGGCAGAATCGATGTGAACCGGTTGCCTTATGGGGTTGAATGTGAAGAGGAGGGTGGTGTTTCATCCCAAAACAGCACCGTTTCGAGCGTGAGCGGTAAGCGTAGCGAGAGAGAGAACAACGGGGAAGAACATGACATAGACAGAGCTTGTTCTAGAGGAATCAGCGAAGAAGAAGACGGTGAAACCTCAAGGAAAAAACTTAGGCTCTCCAAAGACTAGTCAATTATTCTTGAAGAGGGCTTCTTTTTACTGGAGACACAATCCTTTGTTTTGGATAAATATGCAACATTTACCGGTATTCCTCTCTTTACCCGGGTAAATAATTCAACCATTTTTTCAGATTTTTGAAATATACCCGGCTATTTCCTTGACTATTTGGGTAGGATAATTTTTTTTAAATATACCTGGGTAGGGAGGGAGATACCCGGGTAGGCTTGATGGTCAACGGTCAAACAAGGGCAGATTGGTGTTATATTTTTAAGCAAGGTTAAATTTTTAAAATAGTTTATAATCAAGGTTAATTTGGTAATTAATTATTCAATAAAGACTAGAATGATCAAAAAGCCCCGTATATACAGTGGTAGTGGTTGGGAATAAAGGTATTTTTGTCTGAAAATTATTAAATATGTTTAATTGTTGAAATGTAATAGTACAAGGGAGTTAATTGTTCCAATTGAAAGTAGGAGGTGGTCTTTTGAAAAAGCATCAAAGTATAGGGTGATTTTATATAATTTGCCCTAATTTTTTCCTTAATTATGCTAGAATTGAAGAGGTTGAACTTGGAACCTAGATGTAAAATACTCTGTTTTAGTTTTTTTTTTTTAATTCTTTATTGCTAGTTATTTTGAATTTTGAATGCAAAATATCACATGTTTTTTGTATGTGCTTTTGTCAATATAGAGAGAATAGTAGTTATTTGCACGATGTCAAAAGGTTGGGGTCAATTACATAAATTTGAAACATGTCGGACAAATTGCAAATGGCTAAATTTAAATTTTGTATGATTTATTATACTAAAAATATCTCTGTATTTATTCCTAAAACGACGTCATTTTGGGATTGAAAGATTAAAAAATTATAATTATAAAGATTATAATAATTTTAAAATAAATTAAAACTACAAAAATATTATGTTTTTTATTCCAAAATGATATCGTATTAAGCTTACTGCAGATAATTTATTTACAATGAATACAGAAAAAGCGAACCCTGAGAACCTATAAAAGCTTTATAGATGAAGTGATAGGCCTTCTAATGGTTTAAAAAGTAATTTTATTTTCGAAAGTACTTTAGCAAATGATTAATTCTATCCTGCAAGAATAAACTAGACAGAACAATAATATGAGGGAAAAATGTTTGTCATTTTAAATGACATAAAATTATGTCATTTTAAGAGAAAGATACACATAAAATAATTATTTTATTTAAAATTTAAATTAAAAAAATCACTCACTTTCTCTCTCTCATGATTTTCATTTTTTGTGTCTATCTCTCTCTTAAAATGATATAACTTATGTAATTTAAAATGACAAACATCAAACCCATAATATAATTAAGAAAAACTAAACTCCATTTCAACTAACTTACAACTAAATTTTAATCCTTTTTTTGGCATTTTTTGGTATTTTTTTTATCGTTTTTATATATATATATTTTGTCATTTAACTTTTTTGTATTTTTCTTTTTTTAGATTTTATCCTTATTTTGTATTTTAATGTACAATATACTCTAGAAAGCTAACAGTCTAACCTATTAAGAAGAACAAAACTTGGCCCATTAGTGAATTTGGATCAATCAGCAAGCAAAGATAACATTACCAACCAGACAAAGCATGGGCCTGACACTAAAAAGTCATTGACAACCACAAAAATATGACTTATATTCAAACTCGACTGCAGTTGCTGGTCTTTTATTAATACGAGGAGCCTTCAACTACGAAAATTTTTAATATGCTCCGGGACTAATTTGGTTCTTTCACTAAAAAATTAATACGTCAATAATTTTTATTTTTATTTTACATTCTCTCTCCTCTCTCTCCTTAACTTCTTTCGATCTATCTCTCACCTCCGCCCCATCAAATAATTTGTGCACCCGGAGCATAGAAATATCACTTTTCAACCACAAGGCTGTTCCAAAATTAGTTTGTTAACTGTATTTTGGACCACTAACTTTGACCCAATAGATTATAACCGTTGATGAACGGAAATCAACGGTTAGGATCTAAAATGATATAAGCTTATATCCTTTATAATATATTTTTTAATGTTAATTTCTGTCAATTCAATAGTCATAATTTATTGAGAATTAATAATTAATTAATAAATATAACTCAATAAATTATAACCTTTGGATTGACAGAAATCAACGATGAAAAATAAATTATAAGAGGTTGTAAACAAAAAAAGATTATAAGAATATCACGCTCCTCATTTTAGAATATATTAGAAGATTTTTTAAGATTAATTTTCATATTTATTTATATTTTGTGATTCGTTTAGTCTGTTATTGGTATAAATAGAGAGATGAGTCTTTATCTATGAAATCTTATACAATAATATCAATATAATTTTCTTCTAAGTATTCGCCTTTACACTCACTCTAAGTGAGACATTTTGATCATGTCAAAATAATGACCAAAGATAATAGAGATGAGAAATCCATAAACCATTTTACGTGGCATTGTGATAAGAAATTCATACATTACTTCGATGACAAATTCATTTAAAAAAAAAAAAAAAAAGTAACAATGAAGTTAGTTATTACAAGAACCCAAATGCAAATATGCTATCTAAAACGACACTATCTTCAATTAACTTCTGTGACTTATTTATGATTATTAGGTCTTTTTGTGTTACCATAATTCATTTGAGACTTATGTTGATTTAAAACTTGTTATGTTACTTTAGTCTTTAATTTGTTAGATACTTTTTTGCTAAAAACTTATTATATTACTTTTTGGCTTATTAGGAACTTATATTAGTTTTAACTGAGATTTATCATGTATAATAAATAAGCTTCTAATTTCATATTTCAATATTTATTTAAGTAGATGAAATTTTTTATGCATGTCGAATAAATTTAATCATTAAGAGATGAGTGAAGAGAGAGAAACCAGCAAGGAAGCGAGAGATGCTACGACGGAGGAGGAAGATCTTCTCCATCGAAGCACAAAAAAACCTAAAGGCCCTGCTATGGAAGATCAACCTATGGATGATCACATAGCAGAGGAGGATATCCAGGTGAATGTGACTAGCAACGGGGAAAAAAAGAAGGAAGAGTCAGGTGATTCATCTAACAGGAAGTTGGTGTCATATAAAGATTCTCTTCTTGGTTTTAATGGAGGACCCCATGTTGCTGATAGCGATGAGGAAGATTGGGTAGAAAAACTACGTAAGGAAGAGGACGAAGAAGAAGGGGATGAGGTCTTTGTTACGGTTGATGGTGAGGAGGATCCTCTTTGCCCAACGTACTCTTTTCCAAAAGCCTTGCATTTAGAAGGTTGCAGACCTTGGAGACAGGCAGTGATTGTGAAACTTCTGGGGAAGAAAGTTGGAGTTAGATTCTTACTCAATCGTTTACTGAGAATGTGGAATATCTCAGGCACATATGAGTTCATTGATCTAGAGAATGACTACTTTTTGTTTCGATTTTCAAATAAGAATGATTACTCTCATGTTTTGGAGGATGGTCCTTGGATCATAGCTGATCATTATGTGGTAGTTCAACGGTGGCGTCCATTTTTTAATCCTTATGATGATGAGATCAGAAAGCTGGCAGTTTGGATTCGTATTCCAGGACTTCCTATTGAATTCTATACCTCTCATCATTTGTGGAATATAGGTAGTATTTTTGGTCGCACATTGAAGATTGATAGGAACTCTATCAGGAAACGTGATTCTGGTGAAGGTGATATTACAGAGAGAGCAAAGTTTGCTAGAATTTGTGTCGAAGTTGATCTTAGGAAAGGCTTTTTGTCCAAATTCCGGATTGCTGATCGTATCTTCCATGTTGGATATGAGGGTCTCCACTTAGTTTGTTTTGCTTGTGGAAAGTATGGGCATAGAAGGGATCAGTGTTCCCATAGTAATCTTCAACAAGATATTACAGCTTATTCTCCTGAAGTTTCTGACTCTATGGTTCATAAGCAGCCGGAAAAAGATTCTGTTCCGGCGAAGGAGGAACCGTTTGGGAATTGGATGCTGGTGCAGCGTAACCGTCGATCAAGGAGCATAGCACAATCAAAGGAGGAATCAAGGAACATAGCACAATCAAAGGAGGAATCAAGGAGCATAGCACAATCAAAGGAGGAATCATCGGGTAGGAGACAAGTTGGCGTTGTTAATAATGCAGCGTTACGTAATAAGGCAGTTTCCAATTCTCATCCTAATCACAGACAGGTCATTCAATCAGGTTCAAGATTTCAAGCTATTGCTGAGTTGGCTCAAAAGGATAATAATATCTTAATTATTTCTGATTCTCCAGTGATTGATTCAATCAGCATTGAATCTGGTCTGACACGAATTAATCATGGGGAATTAATTGCTCATAATGAAGAACCGTTGGTGAAAAAGGATATTCAAATGGAAACAGTTTCTCCATCTGCTAACCTATCCGCGGGCAAGTCGAGAAAAGAGGTCCAAAGTCAAGGAGTAAAATTCAAAGAGAACCAAAAGAAGAAAGCAACTGCATCATCTGCTAAAGTTCATCAGCTGGTCCAGAATGCTAATATTAGCAAAGGCAGATTAAATGCTTCAAAAGGTGCAGAATCTCAAAAGAATAATTTTAAACTTGATTCTCAGAAGAATATGTCGGAGGATTTCCAAGATAGACAAATTGTCTTGCACCCTTCTTTATCTAAATTCCAGAGGAAGACGTCTCATGTGGTTAATGATCAGCAAGAGACTCTTCCTTCTTCTAGTGGCTTGGATAATGGAGGTAAACATGGAAGACCACCAGATGCTCTTACGTTAATGAGGAATTTTTATCAAACTCACAAGGATTCTATCCCTTTGGATAATTTGGACGTTTTGGGTGCGACTTCGGTCTATACCAATGCTCTTTCTTAGGGCCGGTTTCTGTTCGGATAAATTTAAGATTGTTTTTATGAATATTTTGACCTGGAATTGTAGAGGGGCTGGGAAAAGGAGTTTTCCGCCTCTGATTCGGGATCTTTCTCATAGATACAGTATTAAAGTTATGGCTTTGTTAGAAACCAGATTGAGTGGTGTTATGGCGGATAGAGCTATTCGGCGTCTTGGTTTTTCTGGTCACTTTCATCGTGATGCTGTTGGTTTTTCTGGCGGTATTTGGGTGCTTTGGAACACTGATGAAGTTTCAGTGGATGTTCTTTTTTCTCATCACCAACTTGTCCATACTAAAATTTGTTGGGTAAAAGAAAATAGAGAGGAGTTCATGACTTTTATTTATGCAAGTCCGCGAAGACAGGAACGTATTCAGCTGTGGGAAATTCTGTCTTCACTGTTTGATCAGTCCATGAGGAATGCAGCTTGGGGGATAGCAGGTGATTTTAACACTTATTTGTATGAGTATGAGAAGCTAGGTGGTAATGGGCATAACTGGAATAGCATGAGGGAATTTCGTGATTGTTTAGATGAATGTAGCTTGTCTGACATTGGCAATCAAGGTCCTATTTTCACTTGGCAAAGAAGAAATCTTCAGGAACGTCTTGATAGGGTTTGCGCTAATGATAATTGGAACTTGGTTTTCCCTAACCGTGTGGCTTTCAACTTGCCTTTCTTTGGCTCAGATCATCGACCAGTGTTATTATGGGAAGGTCAACCTGCTATTTATCCGAGAGGGGAGCGTCCTTTCCGATTGCTCTGAAAAGAAAGAATGATTTGCATGCAAGGATTAGAGGTATTGATAAGATGTCTTAGTTATCAGTACAGTCATAGCCTTGAGATGTTGCAAAAGGATCTATGGAGGGAACTAGACAAGATTTATCTTCAAGAGGAAATTACTTGGTTTCAAAGATCGAAATTGAATTGGTTTGCTCTTGGAGATAGGAACTCGCGTTTCTTTCATTCTGTGACGGTTGCCAGACGTAGGAGGAATCACATAGATACGTTGAAAAACTGAGGGAGTTTGGATTGGTGATCAACAGGTTTTAATGGAAATGGCTGTTTCTTTCTTTGAAAATCTGTACACAAAAGATCCATTACCTAAACCGGCTTTACCAGTTCGTGGCTTTTTTCCAGTTATTAAAGCGCATGCTTTAGACACGATGAGTATAGATGTGTTCCTTCACAGATAATATCAAAGAGGTTAACGCTTTGATTTGTCTATTCCAAGAGCAAACCAATTCAATTTCGTATGTTATTGAAACCAAGTAATTTCCTCTTGAAGATAAATCTTGTCCAGTTCCCTCCATAGATCCTTTTGCAACATCTCAAGGCTATGACTGTACTGATAACTAAGACATCTATCAATACCTCTAATCCTTGCATCAAATCATTCTTTCTTTTCAGAGCAATCCTATAAACATTTCTATGCCATTCCGAAGCATTAATCCGAAATGTCTCCATAGCATGCATCCAGTTTACATTGTTTGACCAACATCCATTAACCACCTCATGAAAAGTGCTCTCTGTTAACCAGGACGCTAGAAAACGGAAAGGACCATCAGCTCTCAGATAAATAGCAGGTTGACCTTCCCATAATAACACTGGTCGATGATCTGAGCCAAAGAAAGGCAAGTTGAAAGCCACACGGTTAGGGAAAACCAAGTTCCAATTATCATTAGCGCAAACCCTATCAAGACGTTCCTGAAGATTTCTTCTTTGCCAAGTGAAAATAGGACCTTGATTGCCAATGTCAGACAAGCTACATTCATCTAAACAATCACGAAATTCCCTCATGCTATTCCAGTTATGCCCATTACCACCTAGCTTCTCATACTCATACAAATAAGTGTTAAAATCACCTGTTATCCCCCAAGCCGCATTCCTCATGGACTGATCAAACAGTGAAGACAGAATTTCCCTCAGCTGAATTCGTTCCTGTCTTCGCGGACTTGCATAAATAAAAGTCATGAACTCATCTCTATTTTCTTTTACCCAACAAATTTTAGTATGGACAAGTTGGTGATGAGAAAAAGAACATCCACTGAAACTTCATCAGTGTTCCAAAGCACCCAAATACCGCCAGAAAAACCAACAGCATCACGATGAAAGTGACCAGAAAAACCAAGACGCCGAATAGCTCTATCCGCCATAACACCACTCAATCTGGTTTCTAACAAAGCCATAACTTTAATACTGTATCTATGAGAAAGATCCCGAATTAGAGGCGGAATACTCCTTTTCCCAGTCCCTCTACAATTCCAGGTCAAAATATTCATAAAAACAATCTTAAATTTATCCGAACAGAAACCGGCCCTAAGAAGAGCATTGGTATAGACCGAAGTCGCACCCAAAACGTCCAAATTATCCAAAGGGATAGAATCCTTGTGAGTTTGATAAAAATTCCTCATTAACGTAAGAGCATCTGGTGGTCTTCCATGTTTACCTCCATTATCCAAGCCACTAGAAGAAGGAAGAGTCACTTGCTGATCATTAACCACATGAGACGTCTTCCTCTGGAATTTAGATAAAGAAGGGGTGCAAGACAATTTGTCTATCTTGGAAATCCTCTCGACATATTCTCTGAGAATCAAGTTTAAAATTATTCTTTTGAGATTCTGCACCTTTTGAAGCATTTAATCTGCCTTTGCTAATATTAGCATTCTGGACCAGCTGATGAACTTTAGCAGATGATGCAGTTGCTTTCTTCTTTTGGTTCTCTTTGAATTTTACTCCTTGACTT